AACAAGAGGAAGCCCCCAGAGTTGGAAAATATTTGTGATTCCGAATTTTGAAAGATATGAGTTTAGAAGAGGAAGCTCCCCCCAGGCAAACTAGAGAAACTAATAATGAGGCTCCAGCGGCCCGACGCCGACCCCATTACCACCATAGACGAGGTGGAAGGAGGTTGGCTGTCCAACTTACCAGAGAAATGGCGACAATGGCAGCCAATATGAGGAACATCACCAATCAAAACTTGACAATGCAAGAATTGCTTATGCAGATGCAAGGCCAGGGAAGTCACCTAGTCCCCCATTATGTGCCCCAGGAGCAGTACCAACCTGAAGAGGTACAAAGTCAAAGAGCTCACCCTCCTAAGCTGTCACCTCCATGCACCACCTGTGCATGAAGTTCCTAACTGATCAAAGAGTGGCAAAGGTAAGGGGAGATCAAAGAGGAGCCAGGGAATGCTACCTTAACTCTGTAAGGAAAGCTGAGCATAGGGACATGAACATGGTGATTAGTATCAATGGCCTTGAGATGCCCACATTTGACGAACTCGACCCTCAAGTAATCGAAACCGACTCCCAGGCAGTTCCCATGGAGGAAATAGAAAATTTTCCCATCGATCCATTGAATCCCACCAAACTACTACAAGTTGGTCAAAGCCTTGCCTCGAGGCTCAAAGAGGAACTGAAAGAGTTTTTGCGTAGGAACCAAGATGTCTTTGCTTGGAGGCATGAGGATATGGTGGGCAATGACCCAGGGACCGGTTGCTACCATCTGAAAATTGATCTTAAAGCTGCCTCGCATAGACAGAAGAGGCGAGCTCTCAATCCAAAAAGGTATGAGGCTTTGAAGGAAGAGGTACGTACAGAAATTAATCAACAATGGCTTCATCAGGGAGGCTCTTTATCTGAAGTGGATCTCTAATCCGGTCTTGGTGAAGAAACATAATGGAAAGTGGGGGGTGTGCATCGATTTTTTCGACCTTAATAAGGCCTGCCCAAAAGATAGTTTTCCACTCCCTAGAATTGACCAATTGGTGGATTCCACCGTGGGACATGAGTTGCTAAGCTTTAT